TATGAACAAGACTCAAAGAACATGAAAAACCTTAATTATATTTTTACCTTTTACCAATATTTACCTTTTACCAATTATCCGAGATAATGCCCTTCTTCCAACTCCTCCCCCCTCAAAACAATAGATAAGCATGGTACAGAGTGGAACGCGAGTCATGATGATTGGACTTAGAAAATTTAAACCTTATACACTGTAATATACATTTTCATTCACTTGGAAACTAATAGTAATCTCCCATTCTTAGATATTCTTGTCTGTGGGAAATCAGACGTTTTGTTTACAGAAATCCTACGCACACAGACCGATGCCTGGCATTGTCACATCACCATCCGGCGGCTTAAAAATCATCGGTTATTAACTGTCTTGTTTACAGAGCCGTAAGTCTATCTCCGCCCGAGTCATTAAATTAAAACACCTTACACTTGAAGCAGTTCTTCTTCTTTTGATGCATATCCATTTCTCCATTCCGTGCGGTCTGTATTATTAAGGATTGTGTATCTTGTATGCAGTACTGTGATGCCTCCTTCATCGGGGAGTTGAAGCCCTTCTGAAGGAATGTCATCCGGGCCAGTCGCTTTGTTATTTTTTGAATTACGTTGAGCTTTCTCAATCTCCGCTTTAGTCAACTGGGGGTCTGTCTTCTTCAAAAAGATTTGCTCTATACTTTTCCCAAACCTTGATCTTCTCTTTGCTGTCGACGGCCAACTGGTTGTTATTGTTGGCTGTTATCGCCGGTCTCATTTTTATGTATGTACCGGCAGTCTCCTTTAGCTTTTTGTGCAGATTAAAATCGCCATATTGGTTTGGCACTTGGTCTATTACCATCCATACAGATATTCGCCAAAATGATTTATTTTTATGGGGATATTTGGGTCAAAATAGAATACCCGGTGCAGTGGGATACACTGTAGAAGGCACAGGACAGATCAATCTGCCACTTCGCGATTAACTTTTCACGGATATATCGATAAAAGAAAAACTGTAGTCCGTCTCACGTCCGAATGAGACGCCTAAGGGAAAGGTGGTTGCGGCGACTGCGGTGCGTGCCGTCAGCATCCGAGTGCGTGTCCAGCATTTTTCCGCGCGGTGAGAAAAAATATGGTCACGAATCCGACGTTATATTACGTGAACCACATAAAACTCGCAGAAGACAATGACGGGGATGAGAATAAAGGCCCCGGAATGAATTTATCCAGGCGAGTGTTTGTGTGTGTGTGTATGAGGAAACCACTGAACTCAAACGCCATGTGCATCACATATAACAGACTACTCTTATATATTTATTGTTTATATATTAAATAGCCTAGCTATTTGCAAGAAACATTTTTATAGACTATTACGAACCAACTGTTATATTCTTTTCGAGCATTCAATAGATACACAGTTATTACTTCCTTCTCATACAAACTACGAGTGTCAACCTTTGAAAGTAGTGATGAAGATGACGAATACAAAGGAAAAGTGCCGGAAGTAACGTCTCCATCTTTTGATATCACCGTAACGGGGCTCCAAAATGGAAAACGATTTTTAATAAGTAGAAGTAATAGAGAAGATCGTATTTTAATCACATCTCTGGAAATAGAGACCTATTTACAGCAAATTATTCTTATAAACTTTTTTACAAAATAGTTTTTGATTAAATTTTTGTTTTTGCATGTGCAATGTACTTACCACACAAAATACATACGTTTATTTATACGTATTTTAAAATTATGTTTCCTTTTTAAAACAAAACAAATCTTTTATTATACCGTTTAAGCTTTCGTTAATAAGAATTAACAAAAATAAAAATCTAAGCATATGTTTTTAATTCTTTTCTGACTCACTTTTGATATAACGTTATTATGAAGTTCCTGGCTGGTATGTTTTAACCAAGCTTGACTGTGTATGCAGGGAGTATATATATTTTAATGGAACACATTATATATTATACAAAATCATTTCTTGTATAATATGTCCTACATCCAAGTTTTTAAGACATATGCGCTTTTAATATAAAAGCAACATAAGAAAATAAGATAATATTTTAGAATTTATAATTTATATCTTAGGTGGCTGTGAAGTGCCAAAAAACAAAATGACAGTTACCAGTTAGAGATTTAGCAAAAGTTACATTCTGTAACTGTCACTGTCAGTTATAAGCAAACATTTTGTTTTTTGGTGAGATTATTTTATGTTAAAAGCTATTTATATGTGAAAACCATTGGATTTGGGCATGGGACATAATGTACCAGAAATTTGCAGATTTTTAGAGGTTTTTATTAAGCGCATAATATATACAGGGTGCATTACAAAAAGTCTGCAGCACCCTGTATACATAAAAACATATCGTGCAAATAGCTTACTTTTATTTGCACAACTTTTTGACGTTTTTTTTCCCAAACCTTAAAAAGAAGTTAAAGAGTTGGATATTATAAAAATCTACAAACAAATACAATACAGAAACAATTCATAATAAGAAAAAATATAAAATATCCTTCACTCACACTACTTATACACTGGGGCAAGTGTAATTTTTTATAGGCATTTTATAGCTGCTTCTCATGGTACTAGTCCACCCATGTTTTAAAACTCGCTAGTTACTCTAGTAATATAACTGTGCAAAAGGTACTCTTTTTAAATGATTCTTGTGATTCACTATCGGCTCAATGTGCACACTGTGAGAATACCATAGGATGGTGTGTGCTAACTCCTTTATTTACAGAAATTCGCAGTGTCCACAACATAAAAGAGTAGTTTTTCATTTTGTTGGTAACTGATTTGATGCGACTTTACCAAGGCAGATTTTACTACTCTAGTCTGCCGAATAGAACCACAGTCTGTTATTAAGATATTCCTGTTCGTTTTCTATATAAAAAAAGGATTTCCTCTGTTTTTGTTAGATTCAAGGGTCATTCTCATCAATATAGGACTGCATTTTGCTTGCACAATCAGGTGCAAGCAGTCTTCTGGTCAACATCAGAATCTGTCACAACAAGAACCATATCATCTCCAAATAATTATAGTTGGATCAATATTTTCAAATTAGAAAAATGGTCGGCCCCAAGAATACCCTTTTTGAATACCCGCAACTCTGCATCCGTTTCCCCAAATAAGATGTTAGGCAAATTATAACTCGGTGGGGGCGAATCTGCTGGGTGTCTCCCTATTACCCATTTAGGGTAGGGTTTGTTGGTGTCACTAAATTTTTTAATCCTTTACTCCAGCTATTTCAGTGGGAGATTCTATAAAGTAGTCATTAAACCTTTTTTTTTTAGTTTTTAGGCTGTTTCCTTCCTTTTAATATTAATTTCATCGTTAATTATACAATACACTGTTTGTGATTTATTAATACTCCTCTCAATCATTGTTATGGTATCATTTTGATGTTTGTGCTTTTTAATAGCAAGGTACTCCATAAATTTGTTTTGGACCCTTTCGACACCTCTAATATGTAAATTATAGCTTACCGTATGTAAACAAATGCGTCACAGAGAGGTATGAGGGTTTCAGGGTTAAAGAAGTCCTTAAGTCCACCTAATTTGTTACATTGGCTAATGATCTTTTGTATGTGGTATTTCATCGAGAATGAATCCGATGTTCCTCATCTCCATTAAGTATTGATTAATATATCCACAATTTTTTTACAGTAAAAGTAAACCTCGGAGGAATGAAACGGAAACAGAATCGATAAGTCCAGATTGTCCAGAATGTCAAACTCGATGAGGGATGTCCAAAATATAATATGAAAAAAATTAATCACAAATCTGAGACCTGCATATTTATTATTGGATGAACTTTTTCCTCATTCCATTTAGTGTAAACATATCTATAAATCATCTCTCCCTTGTTGTTTACAAAAATTTTAACCATGCAATCAAGAAAAGGTTAAACAGACACGTTATTATACCTTGCGGAATATTCTAAATAATAATTTACACCAGTTTCCTAGAGTCTTTGTTCGATTATGTTATAGTGGTCTCCTTACAATAGCTAGAAATCTAAAATTATGTTTTATATGACGTATAAAAAAACTGTTAGTTTATAGTATAATATGCAACAAGTGCGGTAAACGGAATTTGACCCGAGCGGAGCACAGCGGAGCGAGTGTTTCATAAAACAATTTTTGAAAGAAGCTGAAATTGTTTTTTTTGCTATTTAGTATTTCAAATTGCTTCTACGTTGCCGAATATGTCCCAAAACATTTGTTTTTTTAACAATTATATGCAAAATAAGGTTTTTCCCAAGTTTATAAAATTAAAAATGTTAAAATTGTGTTTATTCTGTTGTTTATATGACATATCCAATAATATATCTCTCTCTGTCTATCGTACACAGTTAAAAAGAGACCACAATAGCAGAGCCGATCGGAAAGATAAACAAATAGGTTAACTAGTAAATATTTTGTTTGAAAGATAATCTATTATTATCTTTAAAATTATTTTTTTAAAATGTGATTTTTTCGTGACGGTCGTAGAAAAAGTATAGTATGCAACACGTTTGGTGAACTCTTTATCTCACTCGTTTATTCAGCACTCGCTTCGCTCGTGACAAATAAATTAGTGAATCGATTGTAGTTTACCGCACTTGTTACATAATATACTATAAATCGGCATAGACATTTCTTTGCCTTATCATCTTTAAAACTGTTTCCAAAGAACACTAAAGTGCTGATTGGGTTTTTCGTCACAGAATTATCTCTATAATTACTTACTTTCCTTTTCTTTTGTTTATATTTTATTTTTCTTTACTACGGGTTCTCTCGTTATACATTGTATTCTCAAAAAGGTAAGATTTTAGTTTTGTATACCGGGTATTATCTATATCACGTATCTCAATTCTCAATAAAGACTATTATTATTATTATTATTAGATAAGCAATAAATTAGAGCATCAGCATCCTTCTAAAGCTAACACTACAAGAGCGTTGCAGGACAATATTTTCGATTATTTGCCCAGCGATTAGTAAAATTAAACAAATTTATACAAAAATAGTTATTTTTATTTGGTAAAGTGCACGTCTATAAAGAATTTTCAGATCGGTGCATCGTACAATTTTCTCTCGTGCGCATCAATTTGGACAGGTGAAAATGATTTGACAATTCTATTTGGGGTATTTTCCCCGAAGACGCTCCGACGTGGGGAACCGTCAATCAATCATGGCGCTCGGTAAATCGGCTCATATTGTTTTTTTAGCGAATTCTTGCCCTGTTCGTCGTGAAAATTTTTACCGATCGAAATCATACGCAAACCGCCTCATAATTCGATGCCCGGGTGCTTAACGGTGGTTTGGCTCTTTTGATCTCTTCCGGCGAATTCCAGTTTCCCCTCTTTGTTCTTGGGAGGCTTGAACATGATCTCGTCTATGAGCCCGAATTGTTTGGCTTCTAGCGGCGTCATAAAATTGTCCCTTTCCAGACTAGCCTCTACCTTATCCAGAGGCATGCCGGTGTGCCTTTCGTAAAGGCGATTTATTTGCTGTTTCAACTTTAATATTTCTTCAGCCTGGATTTTTATGTCCGTGGCCTGTCCGGTCACTCCCCCCGACGGCTGGTGAATCATGATGCGGGAATTCGGTAGGGAATACCTCATCCCTAAAATCCCTAAATATTCAGCTACGAATTCGTCGGCTCCATTGTAACTGGTTTATTGTACAGCTTGGAAAAAAAGTTTAATACAAAATAACATTCGGAGGTCATTTACTTAGGTGGCGATCATGATATGGAATAGTTTTACCAGTAAAATGAGGGAATTAGGGCTATCTGCGTAAACAAAATTAAAAAAATCTAATTATTTTGTTACAGTTAAATTCCTATGACAACTTCATCGACGATTTGGGTCCACCCTACCACTGTATATTTAATGCCAATGAACATGTTTGGCACCAACTGAAATCTGCCATTCGTGGTAATAATGTTTTCCCCGTGTTAACTCCAAAGTCCTCAAACTAATAGAAACCGAACAAATTTGGGCAAATTCTGTTAAACATATAGAAAAGGCAGAACAAAGAATAATTATAACAGGCGATGATAGCGATAGTGATACTGATATATTATGTGAATACTTTTAGGTAATTTAAGTAGGTAATAAACATTATTTGTAATTTTATTTTGGATTTAAACATAAATAAATAAATATTGTTTAGTATCTTTCCTAACAAAACCCAAAATAATTAAATTCTAAGCAAAGTAGGGACCTGTTCGGCTATATTTCATTATTACCGCTTGCCCGGGTCTTTCCTTAATTCGTATCAGTTAGTTACTTTCTTATATCCATCAACAGACTTTACCATTTGCAGTCGCTTTTCTAGTAACATCGCTATCTGGTGTTTGCGTTATTTTGATATTATTGGAAAAGTCCATATCTGCCTTTTCTGCTCTCTTGGAGTATGATATATCTCATTTAAAAGTCACTATATGTTTCCATTTTTATATTTTTTTATATTGAACGGTAATATATCGGGGTAAAAGGGCCTTCCTTTTTATGAAATAATTATAGAGGGCTTCCAAATTAAAAAATATGATGCTATTTTGCTAACATGAAAATCTGCGCATTAAACATTACATATTTTGTATTAAACACGTTTTTTCTAAAATGTACAATAAAAAACAAGTATAACCGATCACTAAGTACCTTTGGTTCCAGCTGCCAGAAGCAACGACGCCATACTGCAGCACTGCCCCACGCACCAAGTAGAAATCGGAGGCAACACATACTGCATAGTATCGTAGATCCCTAATCCTGCTGTTATAACCCCTCCAGGTGAATTAATGTACATGTGCACCGGCTTGGTAGTGGACTCCGATTGTAAAAACAGCAGCTGCGCAATGGTGATCGAGCTGGTGAGGTCGTTTATGGGTCCCATTAAACAAACGATCCTCTCCTTCAGGAGACGGGAGTAGATATCGAAGGCTCTCTCCCCTTTTCCGGACTGTTCTACGACTACGGGAACGTGGTGAAACGGGAGGGTGATCATAGAAAATCTTTTCGGTCGGATTATCTGGATAAAATTGTTTGTTAGGAGGGATTGTTGCATGATCACGGAAATTTTCTATGGGAATGTGCCAAATTGAAAA